AATTAAAATGAATATATTAATTATAAAAAAAAAACTCGCAAGAAAATTTTACTGAAAGAATCAATTTTTTGCAGTTACAGATTTTATTGTACCACAAACACTAATCTTGCGTTATCACACATGAAATACATGTGTATAATGAACAAACTAATTCTTTTTCCATTCAATTCCTTACAGACTAAATAATTTCACATGAAATTTTATTTTAAACATAGATATCATGATTGTACTCCTTGAACGCCGGTATCTGATTACACACCTTCTCTTGTACTACCTTTCAGAAATAACTATTGTTACTAGAATATCATGGTGCAGCTTTGACAGGTAAGTATTTTGTGAAGAACAAGCCCTCCATCTGTGGAATATCAATAAAAAAACCACGGACGAAGATTATGAACCATGTTATAATTATCGTTACAAATATGGGAATAGGATCCCTGTAAAGAAATTTTAACCGTAATTTCTGTAAAAATTCCGTTAATATGATACATTTCGTAATAACACGGAATAAAAAACACGGAATAAATTTTTTATAGGGCGTGTAGTAAAGTGATTTTATTTGAGATTTAACTTGATGGTATTTCATGACTTTAAAAAATATATAAAATCTAACACTAGTAATTATTAATTAGTTTTGCCGTGTGGGGTAATTAACTTTCCAAATGGAAAATAATTAATGAATGAATTTACATTAGTAAGACCGAAAATAATTTTAATAATACGATACTAAAAAAATCACGGAATAATAATTATGAAACATATAAATAATATATTATATTTAAAGTGATTTACTTGTTCATTTATTTGATACTTAGACTTATGATATTAAGTTTCATTCATGTATGACTTTAAAAGTAAATAGATAATATGGGGTATTAACAAAATAAGGCTTTCCAAACGGGGTATGACCGTAAATAATGAAAACTAAATGAATATTTGTTTTAGTATAACCGAAAAATAATTCAATGTGACATATGGACTAACGTTTAATAGACTTTTCCCCATACCATCAGTGAAAAGGACGAATGATATGAACCGATTAAACCTATATTACTATACTAGTGATTTTATTATAATTTGTGATTTCCCCGATTGCTGATTCGATACTTTTTAATTGAAATCTTAATTCATTCTTACATTTACAATATTGGTCGTGATAATTAATAAAATTAAATCAAAATGCATGTATAAAACTTATATAAAATGCCAGTTTTTCCTTGAATTTGGACCTTGTCCCTCAATTAGAATCAAAAAAAAAACAAAATGCTCAACTTAGCATTAACTCATCGAAGCCGGTCCATTATCGAAAAAAATTCTTATACTAAGATTGAATTGCTGCTAGTGTATACGGCGTTGATCAATTCAGGGACCATTCAAAAAGTTCTAAATTCAAGATATTTTAATCAAAATCTCTTGAAGCACTTTAGAAGACATGGTCAAGGTTTGATTTGTCAATTCGAAATTGACAGTTCTCAGAAAATTAAACTACTCACTACAGGTGATTTACCTTCAAAAGAGAATAATATAGAGTTGCTTTTTTATTTTCACTCTGTTAGTCTTCGCCATGTCCCTAGAAATATTGGATATTCGATAAATAAAATTGACATATCTATGCCTAGACAAAAGTTACTTCAATTAAATTTTAGTAGAGAACATCAACTCAAGGTTCGTCACAAAAAAAAATTGTATCAAGGAATTTCCTTAAGGTATGATCAGTTAACTTTGATGTTAAACCTTAATGTCATATTATATTATTTCATCCATTCTAATTTTTCTAAAATATGAAAATTTTAATTCTTTTTAAAACAATGCATGCCTGGTAAATAGACCTTTAATCGTTTTGAATAACTCCATTATTAATGTTGAAACATCACGACGGATTAAACAGAGAAGACGAAATCGATTTACAAGAAAACAATGTGAACACGCAAGATTTATAAATCGGATAATAAATCTTCCTAGACAAACCTCGAGTAATCCATTAAGGAATCAATTTTTTAACGGATTTACGTTTTAAATATTTTTCTTTGGCAGCTAATATTAAATAACCAACGAATTCAACGAATTGGCAAAATTCGACAGATCGAAAAATTAATATTATTTTTTAGATGAATCGTATAACTAAATTGTAATCGTGGCAATTTAGTTCTTTTCTTAACGTATTTTATTTTATAGTGACATTCGTTATTATATTACAAATTTTTATGATTATGCTAACACAAAAAACATGTTTTAAAACAATTTTGGCGTTTTAAAACATGTTTTAAACGTGTTTTAAAACATTAAGCATTTTACAAGTCTTTACTACGTAAAACATATTTGCAATAAAAATTTAAGCACTTTATTATATAATATATATTTACAGTATAGCCGGACTGACCTTGTTTGGAATTTTATTTTGTAATAGCTTAGTGATACTACTATTCGTTAAATAAAATGTGCGCTAACTCTTAAAAAAAAAATTATATAATATATCAATTTTAAATCTTCTAAACGATCAATTAAATCAATAACTAATGTCATTTCCACATTAATTACACACTTTTGACGAGGTGTTTTTCGTAACTTTTCAAAGGGCTTACGGACGTCTTCTGATGATAGTCTTCCACGAAAATAATTTTAAAAAAAGGTTGTTTAAAAATACAAAAAAGGTCATTAAAATAATTACGCAATAATCCGATCAATGTTTTAAAACAAAAAAAAAAAAGTTTTAAAACAATAAGAAACTGATTTAAATTGTTTTAAAACATCTTGTTTTAAATCACGTGCCATCCCTAATACCATGTTAATGAGTATTAAAATAATTTTGGTTAGACTGTTTATTTTTAATTAACTTTACGATATACTATGTATTAAGATTGCAAAATATATTTTACACAGTAATTATATGATTTGTTTATCAAATATTTAATGATCAAATATATCATAATGATTGGTGCTTCCTTTCATTTCTTATCAATTTATCTTTATACATTTTATTTCTACAGTAGATAATATAACGATTTGATATCAAACAAATATCTAATAATAGCAACTTCAATTTCTAATGTCACTGCTGTTGTCTGATATCCTTGAATAGATAGATATATTGAATTATGACGCGATATTTATAAACTAATATGTAATAAATTTTAAAAAGTACTGTTTACTTTATATGTTTCAGGAAATTGTCCATTCAGGATATTACTAATATTTCAAGTTACGCTAATTTTAATTCAATAAAATTTGGTCCGAGTTAACACAAAAGGTTCCATCGCAAAATACTAGTTATTATTTATATAGAATTTAATACTGAAGAGTGACTTTGAAGAACTAAATTTTTCTAGCTATCTGAAATTTGCATAACGCTAGAAATAATTGGATTTTTCCTGCATTATAATTCTCTGATAACCTTTATGTAACAATAATTTGATGCAACAACATGTAATTTTGACCATTTGACTATTTCAACCATTTTGACCATTTTAATTTTGATTTCATGTATAGTTCGGTTTTCTGTAACTTGATAAGAGGCTGTCCTGTTGTTACTGTAAATAAAGTTTATTTAAACTCGTCAGAGATCTACATCACAGTGTTCCATCATTCGCATGTATTGTTTTATTAGAAAAGTAATTCTTTCCATAAAATTTTGGTCAATGATCTAATAATTCTTATCATTTTTTATATTTTTTTATGTATCGCTCTCATTGATTTCCGATGAATGTAAAGTTCCTCTTTGTAAGAAGCGCCCTAAAAGCTTCCTTGCATTTTTAATAAGGCTTTCCCACCAGTAAGGTTTTTTCAATATGTTTATCTGCTTTAATCTGATAGTTCATTGGGTTGCGTCTAAATTCTCATTCCACTTATCAAACTCAAGAATTTTTTCATGGTAGAATATTCCATGCATAATGATGCCAACTGACTTTCTAAGATGGCGTAACCATTAGTGATACTGTAAATATCATCTAGGACTTCTCACTCAATCTAATATATCCGACTATCTTCTGGGATATCATTGAAAAAAAAAATATGCTGATCTTTAGTGAAATCAGATGCCTGAATCGTCTTAGCCGAGATTAATGATGATAAACATTTTTTGGTTGTTTCAGTTTTAGGTTTTTTTCGTTAGAACATTCTTCCCAATGAATAAAACAAATAAAACAAATAAAACAAATAAAATGAAAGAAACATTTTAATAAAAAAAGTAAGCGTGTAATAGATGATTGCGATAGAGTATAATTGTTATCATCCATGAGATGCACCAATCAGGAGCTCTTGTTATACTTATGATATTAAATATATCACGTGGATTACTTGTGTTACATATCAATATAAATTGTTATTGGATAAGTATTGTATCGTGACTTAGTTCACGTGGAATCTAAAAATAAAAAAGTAAGCATAAAAAAAATAATACGTGAGAATATAAAATTAACCAACCCAATCGAATTAATCCGATCGATTGTGTTCTTTATTGTGTTACTAGTGTTACATTTTTATGCATTTCTGCGCCTGCATTTCAATTAATTAAAAATATGATAATAAATAAACAAAAAACATTTTAATTTAGAATTAGCCTTTTTAAAAAAATCATAAGAAATTCAATCAATCATAACTGGAATACCAAATTTTAGGACAAAGTACATCGTATTGAAAAGCGTAAATCCAGGATTTTATTATTAATATATATATATTACTGTTCGTACAGCACATAAATATAAGTGCTTTGCAACGCATTGAAAAAGAATTGAAATGTGGTATATAATATATTTAATAAAATAAACGAATAACTTTTCAAGAACAAATTTCTACTTATAAAGAGCATAAGTTAAAGTAGCATTTTATTTAAATATTTATATAACTTTCAGTAAATTTCTGTCTAAAAAAAAAAATAATAAAAACCAATAAAATATGCGAAATAAATTAAGAAATTAAAAAAAATTAATTCCCAAATTATTAAATCTTATGTAACAAGAAAAGTCATCTAAATGATTCATTTGAAAAGTGAGTTCGCAAATATTCTAGGGAGATTTATTCGAATAGGCATGATCTTGTTGAATCAGATTTCGAATATCTGAACTAGTGATAATAATAGTTGCACGAGGAGAATTTATAGTAATTCCAAGTGAATTAAGTAAAGGAAATGCATTACTAGAATTTTGATCACTAGTGATAATAATAGTTGTATGAGGAGAATTTATAGTAATTCCGAGTGAATTAAGTGCATTACTAGAATTTTGATCGTTGTATTGCGGATAAAAATGTGGGGAGGAAACGTTATTGGGCGTAGTTTGATGACCAACTTTATCGTTTGAAGCGTCACAGGAAATTTTTTGCTGATAATGCCCTATAAGAAATATGTATACGGAAAGGATACGTTTTGTATACATTTTATGTACGTTTCTATAGATTCCGTATACAAATTCCGTATATTTAATAAGCAATTCATTTTTGAACATTTTTTAAAAAAACTAATGTATAAGAAATGTATACGGAAAAAATTAATCATACGGAATGTATACGGAATTTTTAAACTTAATATTTTTAGAAAATAATTTTACAAAAATCTCGTATCATAACACGAGATCACGTGATTGTTTATTGTTTTGTTTTTTGTTTTTATATAAACCCTTACTTTGATGAGTTTGATCTTCCGATCTTCCTTTCTGTCTTTCCTTTTCTTCTCTTTTCTCTTGTCTTATTTTTGTTATTTTTTCTAAATTTTTCTTCTTTTTTCGTCACCCCCCCTTTTAAAAAAAAATTTTTTTTTTTCGTACCTCACTTTAAAAATTTTTCTTTTTTTTCATTACTCTCCTTTAAAAAAAAAATTTTTTTTCGTCACACCCTTAAAAAAAAAAAAAATTTTTTTGATTTTATTCTTTTATTCCCACTCTTCTAAAAATTTTTCTTCTTTCTATTTCTATTTCCTATTTATAAAAAATTTTTTATTTTTCTAACTTTGACGTCCTCCCTTTAAAAAAAAAATTTTTCTTAACTCTCCTAACTTCGTTACCCTCTTTTTAAAAAAATATTTTTTTTTGATTTATTCTTTATTCCCCTTTCTTTTTTATTTATATTTATCCCTTTTTTTATTTCATAGGCCAGCAGATTTTTTTTTGTGAGAAGATTCAGTTTTTTTGTAGATCAGTTTGGGAGTCCTTTCCTTTTTGTAGGATTGTTCAGGATTTTTTTCTTTTTTTAGGTCAGTTCAAATTTTCTTTTTTAAGTTGGGTTCAGATTCTTTTCTTTTTGTAGGTTGTTTCAGTTTTGTTGCTTCAGAGTCTTCTTTTTTTGTAGGTCAGTTTTGGATTTATTTTGTTGTTTTGGTTTCTTTTTCATCAGATGCTTCATAATTCTTTTCATTTATGTAGGTCAGACATTCTGGAGTTCTCTTTCTTTTTTTGTAGGAATACTGACCTTTGGTGATTTGGACGATTGCAGATACTATATGAAGGGGGGTTTTGTTTCCAATTAAGTTAGACGTTCTTTTTTGTTTTTTTTAGGTTGTTTGACTCCAAATGAACCTGAACTTATAGATAATTTTGGTTGCAATAGGTGGCCTTAATAAGGAGGGAATTTTCATAATGTATTTGTATTTTTATTTTTTTATTTAATTTAATAAAGTAAAATTAGATTTATATAAATATAATTATAGTAAACTGTAATACAAATAATAAATTCAGTGACCAAATCGTATAAATTTCGTGATAAAATCAGTGATCAAATCATGTAAATTCCATATGAATTCCGTGCAAATTCCGTATCCAAACCATATTTTTAGTGATACGGAATTGTGCATTTTTCCGTATCCTATTATGATACGTTATTTCTAAGGAAAAAAAATCGTATAAAAACTTTATAAAAAACGTATCCAATTTTTTTATAGGGATGATTATGGCCAGTAGAAATAATATCGGTATTTGAAGTGCTATGGGACATAGATTGCTGATAATCATTATGGTCAGTGATTATGTTTGTACGTGTAGGAGAAGTATCATTGTTCAACACGGAAATATCATTATTGCAGTTGCAAGAAGGAACATAACGGTTATTATTTGAAAAACGCCCCGCTTGAGTAGCATTTGTTGCAGTCGTTTGCGGAAAATTAGATCCACCGGTAATATTGAATTCGTGAACATTATTATTATTATGATTATTGTGTAAAGGATTCATGAAAAAAAATATATAATATAATAAAGTCTTTTAACTTTTTAAATATGACAACGAAATGTTGAGTTTAAATAAAAAAAATTGATGATCTGATTATCTAAATTACTTATTCTGACCCATTTACATTCATTGATCCGAAGAGGGAAATTTAAAAGTAAAACTAACAGTTAAATGACATCTAAATTTAGATATTTGTATTATCAAATTTGTTCAATTCCGAAGTATAACAAAGAAATATTAATTACTATGCAAAATGATAAAAAGTTACATTGTTGATACATTTTTTTATATTTTTTAGTGAAATATCAAAGTAGTTGGATACTATTTCGAAGCGCATACCGGTAAGCTAGACACGATTGTTTTCTCATACATTTTATAATAAATAATGAACATATAAAGTTTATTGAATGAAGAATTGTTAGAGAATTAAACATTATAATTTAGTACTAAGATAATACTAAAATAAATTTATTAGTTGAAAAAGCTTCAAATCATAACTTTATTTAGTCAATTTACTAAGAATGAGCTATCATGTACTCATTGTTATGTTTCACAATCCTATATGCATAAAAAAAATAGAAATCGATTGATTCAAATAAAAAAAAAAATATTTTTTTCGCTAATAATAATGACAACTGCTTGGTGTTATTGAAGCTATGATAATTATATTCATAAATGTTAAAATGCGTTAAATATTTTTTTTTTTTTTTTTAGTAAATAATAATTAATTCGTAACTGAAATTCAGGACTCAAATTTGTGAGTACAAACCACAAATACATATGGTATGATAAGGGTCAACCTACTATCGATTACTTCATATTTTAAAACGACTGTTGGATCATAGAAAGATGATCGGCAAAATGCAAAATATTCAACGATCTCATGAGAGGCAAGTTGAACGATATGGAAAGCATGTCATATTTTAGTTACCGTATAAACAGTAATAAAAAAAGAATTTTAATGATTATTGATAATTGTTGTCGGTTAAGTTGCAGTCCTATGCATGTACAGTCGCGTCCGAAAGTGACGCCCGATTTGAAAATGAAGACAAAAGCAAAAATATCTGTATTTTTTCACTAGTGTATACATTAGTAAAATATTCATACCTAGTTTGTTTCTCATACTAAATCAAATTTTCATAATGCCAGGGTGGCAACCTTCTCAAAAACAGAACTATTTAAATTTTTATTTTTTCTTTAATATAGCTTTAAATTCGCCTACAGCTCTTGGGAGAGGGACACACTTCTGGATAATATATTGGTTCATTTTTAAATGTTCTCTACTTGGTTTAAACCAAATAAATTTGTTGGAAAATTAGTAGTTGCAATTTTATTTAATTTTAGCTTATTTTTGGCCTAAAGATAAAGGATATAATCATCTGGAAACCTGTGATTATCTTGGCATCCAGTGATCAGAATTCGATGAACAAAGGCTCATTGGATTCGTCTCGTCAAGATGAGTTGAATGGTGAATGTCTCATATCTCTAGGGTTAATAGATACTAAGGTGTACCTTAAAACATTTTTTTGATGGTTTGGCCTTTATCCTGAGATATAATGATGCTACATGTATGAACTGGCCACCATTCGACGTGTATCAATGAGACAAATCCAATGAGTCTTTGTTTGTCAGAATAGAATCACTGGATAGTGAGATATTCCCAATTTCGTGAAATTTAGAGTTTCGAAAAATTTTCAGGTAAAGAATGTTTTAAGTTATATCTTGGCATCTATTGATCCTAGAGATATAGGCCAACCACCATTCACTTCGTCTTGACGAGATGAATCCAATGAGCCTTTGTTTGTCGAATTCTGATCACTGGATGCCGAGATGATCATAGTGACTTAATAATTATGGCCTTCATCTGTAAGTAATCGGGCAACACTTTCGGACGCGACTGTACAATGTACACAGAATCACAATCATTCCAAACACATAAATCGGAATACGTTAGCATTTCTGACGTCACTATAGTAATAAATGATAAGTATTTGCATAAATTTTAACCAAATTCATACTTCATATATACGATTCTTTATTATGATCACCATAAACCATGCAATAGAATTTATTTAAATCGCTGATTCTTGTTTCATCTGAGATGTAAATATGCGCCAATAAATAATTGTTTTTCAGGTGGGAATTTTCATTAATAAAGAAGGTAATTTTTCAACATAAATGAATCGAATTTTATTGAAATTTTGACGCAAATATGGTACATAAATAAGGTTTAATAAGTGTTTTTTCTGATAATCCCATTTAGATTAACCTCTGTATAAATACGTAACATGGAAACGCAAGATTCTTATTTATTATGGCTAGAATAATTTGGTTGACTATCAAAGTCGTAACTCCGGCTAATGAAATTTTAATGGACACTTTTTTTGGCTAATAGATAGTGCTAACTAGACTTTTTAATCATATTAATCATATTTCATTTTTGGCCACTCCCATCGATGCAATCGGCGCAGCATATCACAATTGCCGCATTTCGGTTGCCTTTTTTTTTATTTTTTTTTNTTTTTTTTTTTTTTTTTTTTTTTTTTCAGTTTAACCCGATAAAAATTTTTTAATCAATTTTTTTTTGGTTTTGATTTTAGTTCAATAATTTTTTTTATTATTATACATTTTGTTGAATTTTTGTTTATTAATAATTAATTAACGCCAATAAAAAAAGACTTTGCCATTATTTTTTTTATAGTTCGCTTTTTATTGTAATTTTTTTGGTTGTCAACATAAAAAATACTTAATTATATTCCATGATACTATCACGCTGTCATACTTCTATTGCAACGCAACATGCTACAGCTAGTATATAAACTAAATTAATACTATGAACGACTGATATTTGAATTATATTAGTTTAAATAAACAATGCAAATGCTTTCGTATTATTTATATTATATTTTATTTATATTTATTTATGTATATGCATTTTTTTTGAAATATTTAGATTTCAATTATGGGTTCTTGTTTGTAAGCAAGGATTTATGTCGAATTACATATGTACATTGCTAACACTTTACTAGAAATGAAAGAAATGAAAGTAAAAAAAAAAAATAATTTGTCCATTTACAAGCATTATTTTATTAAAATATTTCATGAACAATCACATTCAATAATCATTGTTTAAAATAAAATCAAGTATATTCTTTATTCGATTGTCTTTTTTTAGTGATAAAATTCCGGAAAAATCCGGAATTTTTGAAAATCTCGGTGTAAAATTTTTAAGACCGTCTCTAGCATTTGTACCACTACCACGAAATATATTAATATGATTAATAAATGAAGTCATGCACATGTAAACCAACAGATATAAAGAAAAATTTTAGTTTAACCTTTTTTCTTTCATCTTATTATTATGTTATATGTTGATCACGTTGATCTCAATAAGACTATAAAGCTAAAAAAGTGCATTTGTTTCAGTTGAAAGTTTTTTAAGGTAAAACAATACATAAGTATTATGATTCTTAAATTTGATTTTACAATAAGTTTTGATTTTAAAACTTTTAATATTGTACATAAAAATATATCAATTTTTTTTTCGTATAAGATTCAATTTTTATCTAACTTGATATTTTATTAAAATAATCACTTAAATAGATTTTCCTTTCTTCTTTATTGAATTTTTTTATTATGAAAAGCAATTTCATCTTTCTTTTAGTGTGATTTCACTGATATTTTTTTTATTTTTCTGATATATTTTGATATAATCGAGTTTTATCCAATCTAATTTTTCTAAACAAATGATTATCCTTGCTTTAATGATCACTTACCTTCTCATCATGCATGGGACAAACGATCGAAAACATGTGATTTATTGTCTCATGATTTGAATTAACAATTAAAAAATTTCCGAATACATACAGACCAATTGCGATGTTAAGAAAAAGTTATTAAAAATTTTGTAAACTACAATAGTCGATGATCATTGGATTTAAGTTCGGGGTTCTGAGCTGGCTGGCTACATCAAGAGTTGAGAATATTTATATATTTTGTTTAAAATAACACCCAGAGTTTCATATTCATTCTATACAGATAGTGGCATCGGTATCTAGTTTAATTAAAAGTGGGCACAAAATAACGACCAAGAACCCAAATTATCAAAATGCAAAATTTAATACTGGTCCATACTAACGACTCTAACAATGGCTCACCTAACATTGATATCATCATATACACAGGTTCTTAATGTACTATATCAATAATTTCTCAATAATTATCACCTTTAAACAAATAATAATTAAAATTAATATCCATGCTCATATCAACATTATGATCTGAAATTTAATTCAATAAAAAGTTAAAGCCCGCAAGAGAAACTTATACGATGAAACAGCAGACTTTCTCATATATTAGTTGAATCTGGAAGTGCTAACATTACTTTCAACATTAATATACATATAATACGCATGAGACCATAATTCAAGGATACTTGAAATAATTAAGAAAAATAGACAAAACATGATAAATTTCAATTTCTGGATCAAAAATTCCCAATCTTCGTCGGCACTTTCGAATTCAGAAATCGACCAGAACTTCACAAAAAATGGGTTCATACCAATCTAACGAATTCTACAATAAAATCCTGGAGTTACAAAATGAAAACCATGAATTTTTCATTTCTTAGTAATAACTTATTATTACTTTCATTACTTTCCTTTCCCGCAATATATTCTAATCCATCGGATGAGCTACCCTGGTTGTAAAGCCATCTGAGTTACTCCAGATACAATAATATATATATATATATATATATATAAAGGAAATTTCGTACACTTTGCCAGCTGGTGAGAAAGCCTATGATCTCTAACCTCAAACTTCTTTTCTACAAGATCCCTAAACATTTGATTCAGAGACCTAGACCATCTAAAAAAGAGAAAATTGAAATGTTAGTAAAAACATTTCATTGAAATGCATAATTAGAAACAAATCTCACCAAGTTTTCACGCGTTTAAAGAGTCAAAGAACCAACCATCTGAAAAAAGAAAGATGATGAATAT